TGTTTTTGTTTCTGTGGAAGTAATATCAACCTCCCTGTTTCTATCACTGTGCTGGCCACTTGGGAGCTGGAGTGCATTTGCTAGGATGTTTATGCATATCTCAGATAAATTGTTTGGCTTGATCTTGAAGAACAGGCCTGCTATTAGAATAGCTTATCTGATTTGGCATTTGTGGAAGAAAATTTGTCATTATTTTCATGTAATTAAAAAGGTTTCCCATGGGTTGGTTTTTCATTTATTTAGTATTTGTAAAACTCTGCACAGTAGCTCAACTCTGTCTAGGGCTGTTGGATTGCAATTTACTGTCTTCTTTTTCTTTTTTGGATTAAACATACACCCACACATTTTCACTGTAAAAGAATCTTTACAGTTTCATTATAGAGTAAACATGTTGGGATTTCCTCACTAATTCCGGTAAGTCTATCAGACTTGCTGTTAGTGTAGAGGTGCTGTGACTTCTTAAATTTGTCTGATGCCACTGTAAGCACAAAAGGTTATTGGATATTGGAACTAATACTGCTGTGCCATGGATGTTAAGTATAAGCTCATGAGTCAGTTGTATTTTTGTTTACATTCATTCACACATAGGCAAACCATTATTCACTGGCCTTGTATTGGAATCCTTTTGAGGACATTTTTCCTGTATTCCCATTACATTAATCTCCCTCTCCACAAGGCTTTCAACTTTGTGTTTGTGTATGTGCACGCTTCAGCGGATAGTTGTGTAAGCGTACTAATGGCATTGTCCTGAGTGTCATGTCTAACCCCAGAGGCATTTCTGTTGATGGTTGCTTTTTTCAGTTTAATGTCCGCTTTCCTAATCATGTTGTCCTTCGGTGAAAGGTTAGTTTCCCAGCAATAAAGAATCCACCCTAATAAAATTTTGTAGTCTGACAAAAGTTGTTCCCATAGAAATTATGGAAATTCTTCCATCATGGTGGTTAACAGCAGAAAAAGGCAGCCGTACTTGTTAAAATGTGAGAACTGTGTGCTATGGCTTTCAGTCACAGTGTTGCACAGCAAAATAATCTGAAGTTACAAAACCCACCCAAACATGTATATCTGTCATCAAGATTAGTTCCTTACTGTCTTATTTTGCTGTCTAAGAAGCACTGGAATGCTGTCACAGAATGGCTCTCCTGTTACACATTTATAGCAGATACAATATTCTCTTTATAACTGGTATGGGCTTGTGCTTATTCAGTGGGTACTAACACAGAATCATATAAAGTGAGTGTCATAGTTCTGAATCAAATTATACCACTGGAATAGCTGTCATTGGCTTAACATTACTGTTCATAACAGATTTAATCATCAGCTATGCCTAAATTTGTATCACCTACCCTAACACTCACAAGTGGCAGGTATCCAACTGCCACCAAGCTTTGACACAAATGAATTTTAAATTAGGCTTTTTCAGTTTTTATAAATTATTAATATTTCAAAAATTTGTCAAGGAAACATGATTTTTGATAGTAAAAGGGAATTGCTATAATGTTATTAATACAAAAGGCGTTCCAAATAAGCTTTTGCTATTGGGAATTTCATGCCAAAAGTTAACAAGGTGTGGAGATGATATTTTCAGCACGGGTAAAACTTTATTCCACATGAAACACTGATGCATATAACTTCATGGATATTTGGCTTTTGTTTAAATTAGACTTGATTAGTCCTCTGGCTACAGTTCAGGTGTCTGACTGCCAGAATGAAAGATCTCTTTCTCTCTCATGCTCCTGCTCTTGGTCTTAAAGAGGATGTCCACACAAAATAGTTTTGTTTTGCACTCTACACATAATTAAATGGGTTGTTTGCCAGTCAAGCAGGTGATTCTTTTCCTGCATGTGTGTTTAAAAAAAAAAAAAAAGATTTAAAAGTTTTGTTCAGCAAATTTTCTGGACCCTCTATAACCATGATGAAATAAGCAGACAAGGTTTATTATTTATGTGGATTCCTTTGATTGTGGTAACATA